AAATCGACGGGGGAACTGTCGTGAGGTCAAGTGATTTACGGTTAGGCTGGCTCCCTTCCAAACAATGAAAGCAGTCAGGCGATAGGACAGTAGAGAAATACACACGCGCATGCCATTGGCGCGCGCACGCGCGCTTACAAAGTGAGCGTGGTACTAACACACACGCGCACACGCGCGTCGAAGGGGGAGAAGGCGTTTCAATCTGGCCCCTTCGACCAATGATAACGGAGATGCACACAGAGACAGTCATGACTTTTATTAAGTATACAGATATTCTCTTGGCTAAAACTATCAATATGTACTGAACATTTGCAGGTTTTTTTATTATTAATACCTTCCCTCAGACGGCTCCACTATCAATCTCTACCGACTTTTCGGCCTGCCTTAGGTCAAATTCAGCCATCCGAAATACAAGAGACTCCACAACGCTTGGATAATTCTGCAAAAGAAAGTTGAGTATACGCTATGTCATTTAAGAGTGCTTTTTGGACAACCGTGGGAGTCGATGTTGAGATGGAAAATCGGCCGGAAACGTCCAGTTACATCCACCTATAAAAACTCGAAATTAACGTGAGCTCAATATTTCAACCATAGCAGACATCTATGCGTTATTTTTCGTAAGCTAAAGTATAAGAATCCTGGAGATTGTTCGAACCAATTAGACATCAAGCATCTATTTTTGAGCGGGCATTTTATAATAAAACAGCAAGCAAAGCGACAACCTCTAACCAAATATTTTATATCGAATAAAATTAAATAGGAAAGACAAGAGGGTCCTATGAAGGCCAACAAAAAATGAGGAGCTGAGTCACCACGCTGAAGATACCCATGAGGCGCTTTCGCACTTAAGCTGCTTTTTACCACAATTCCAGCTAGCCGTAAGTCCGAGAATTAAGCGGATTCTCTGCAAGCTTCCTCATCGGCGAATTTTCCCTGGAGTACTTAACGTCGCTCACAGGATTCTCGTCGTCAGTAGCATTAATGATTCCGTGTGAACTTATAACGCACAACAGCAAAAAACCCAGGACACAAACTTGCAGTGAGATTTGTTAATCACGGCTTTTTATTGTTATCTGCCCAAGTTCGAGGTGAAGTCGGAAGCATGGCACCTAACTCAACGCCAAAAATTCTTCAACACGGATAAAGCGGAGGTTAAAGTGGTCATTTGAACTAGAAGCTCGGATTCTCTGGCTTGCGGGCGACTATTGATCAGTTTGGCTGACTGGACACGATCTGCTTCAGTCACACCAGGTGATTACTTTGCGAATTGTCTCCAGGGTCCAATGACACCATTAAGCCCACCGCAATACTAGCCACAGACTAGCAATGGATGACTGTAATACTATCGGGACAGGAACCACAAGAGAATTAGACGATAACTGGTGGTTAACTAACAAGGAGTATACTTTGGTGTGCCCGCAAAACGCAACGGATATGCAAGTAGTCGTGTGGTGGCACGTGCAGATTGTTTAAATTTCGGCAAAACGAGGTTTTCCGACACCCGAAATGTTAGACCTTTCAAAAGTTTTCATTACGGAAGGGCTTTTCGGACAATAAGTAGCCCTACCCGTGGGAGCAATCTTCTGAGAGCTCAAGTCAAACCGTCGGCCCCTGAGTTCGGCCCAGAGACCTACCTCTGAGCTACTGCAGTCAAAAAATGTATATGCGAAGTAAATGATATAAATTTTTATAACCTGGAAGACAAGGTATTAATCAAATTAAGCACTTTTTAAATGAAACGTGTTGGGCAACCTCGAAATGAACATACTTGAAACTTTTCTCCAGTTCTTCGTCATTCAGTCCAACGGCTCTGGCGGCGGTGAAAAAAGCCCTGTTCACTGCGTGACTCAGACCCTGTGCTTCGAGCATACTCGATGGTGTTGGTCGATCGAGCAGATCGCGATTCAAGTAGTTTCCTGTTCGTCTGTAATTCTTGTGCAGAGCGACGGTCATGTTAAACTCGCTGTCTACTTCCTGACGAAGGTTGTCGAAGAAAGCCAAAAATAGTTCCCCTCTGCCCATCAGTAAAATATCCCTTATTATATTCAAATGGTGTGGAAGACCGTACTCCTTTAACATTCGCTCGTGAACTTGGGCTGATATATAAAGCAAGACGTCATGGAGCAGCGACTGCAGACTATCAAGATCCACAAGCGGAGCGTCTTCCGGCATGGCTGAACAAAATGATTCTTGTATCTGTTTAGTAAATTTTTCAGAAAAATTATCTCCCAGTGACGTAGAAAGTGGGCAGGAGGAAAGGGACGAGTCTCCTGCCCTTGTGGCGAAAGAACTGACGACTTGGCCAGCAAAAAGCACATCATTCGCTGTGGATGGGGATATTATGGAAGGCAGGTTGCGAGTACACAGCTCAAAACTGCAATCTGTGGAACCCTTGGCTGTGTTTGAAGGAGCCCTTCCGTCTGGTGACAGATCCGCACTAGGACTACACTCTGTTGTCTCAAGATCGCGGCCGCCGTTAACCGGTTGCACGAAGAATTCCCGAAAAGGGTCCTCGAGAACGCCGTAAAGGAGCCACCCGGAAAGCTGGTGGTACAAGACTCGCATCTGGCTAGCGGATAGATGACGAAAAATTGGTTTTAAGGATGGAAAACTACTATTTGCAACTTGTATGATTATGTCAAGCAAACACTGTTTGGGAGATGTTTCTGTGTCATCCAGTGTGGTTTGGCGCATAACCTTTTCCAGAAGCGTAGCCAGTGAAGATAATAGGGGTTTAAAACAATAAACTTTGGAAAATATGAAGGTAAGGCCACAGCTTGCATCACATAAGAGACTTTGCTCGATATTACACAAGGTTGATCGATACTCACTGAGAACATTGTCCAGACCGCGTGCCAAAGCAGTCAGGTAGAGACTGACATTTGGAATTTTATAGCGTTCGATGAAACCTTTGAGCTTAATATAGTCCTCAGCGAGGAGCAGAAGCTGTGACACAAGAAGCGTCTCGCTAGGAGTGATGAAAGGCAAGCGATCCGAAAGAAGTCGGAGATTTTTTTGGTCTACGGAGGATCCGGTTCCGTCAAAATACGTGTATATATCACCAGGACATCCATTAAGAGCGAAAAGAAGTTCATGAAGCATGCTGGATATATTTCAAAATATTGAAATTGGAATATGTCCAGCAAAAGTTTGCAGAGTTGAAAAAAAGGACGTCTATGTAGCGTATTAAAAGTAGGTTGGTATGTTCAAACTGTTTTAGTTCGAAATATGTTTTTTTCATTCCGTTAACTCAATATGTTGAAAAACCATCTAAAAATTGCAGTCGCTGAGAACAGCCTAGCTATGTTCAGCCGACGACTAGACTTTCCACCTTCACCCGCGTGAGCTGGTGGCATGACGGTCAAGAAGGTCGAGATTAAGGGATATAGGGCAATGATCGCTTTCTCCAATGCAGGCCAGAACACCATGTCATTTAGCTTTAAAGGGTAGCAGACTTTTGCGCTGGACCTATTGCACTGCCTACCTTCACTCAAATAGCCGGTATCAAAACACGGTCATAATGAAACGGCCCAACAGACTGAATGGTTTTTAAGTACACCAAGGTCGACACTTTTTGCGCGAAACCGGGATGGAGGTGATGTGATTTAGGGTCTGTGGAGATGCCTGTGCCCGCTTCCTATCACAACCACTGACTCCATATCCCGCAACTTACCATCGTCGCAGTAGTACCATTTTCCCCAATCTATGTCAGCAGTCCCACGTCTCGTTCCCGCAGTTGTACCCATCCCTGCGCTCTCATCGGCAATCGAACGGGCATGACAGAACACCCCCACTCCAGATGGGACCTGTATATATGTAACGCCTTCCTCTGTCTTATATTATTTACTCATCTTATGCGTATAGGTTTGATACTAGTAGATTAGTATGCATACATCCTTACACTATTTTTGGAATTTCGGAATTTATACTGGATGTCCCAAAAATGCATCCACATTTTACCTTATTTTAAAATCGGCTTTTATCGTAATTTTATTATCAAGTAAATGTAAAGATATTTAGAAGTATAATTTTATTGTTTTTTCACTGAATGTTCTCAAACTGACGTCCATTTTGATCGTGACACTGCTGACAAAGCGGTGTAACAACCCAGACTGAACCAGGTGTGTTTTGGTGGGCTAACCCCCACGCT